GTCAGTTTTTGAAGACAATGTAAAGCTGATTCTTACATATCTGTACTCATTATCTTAGAAGGGCACATGATTATTATCAAAATTCACCTTTGTATTACTTTTTTTAAAATTTTTTTTGGCACAGAACTAATATGTAAGTTTAGTATAAGCAATTATTGAAAAGGGCAATTTATTTTAAAATTCCCTCTAATCTCAGCAATATCTAAAAATAAACACAATTAATATTTTGTATATATACTAAATAGAACTGCCAAAACTTTCGCTGATTTGTTCAATAATATTTTACATTTAAATGTGAATATTCAAAAGTGTTTCTTTACATTTCAGAGGGTCCTAAAGCTTTTGATATGAATAAAATTCTGTGTCCAAGCATGGAGAATTTTGCAAAAACGCTGGGGAGAATTATGACTCCTGTCTGATGCCTCACAGATTTCATGGATTTCAGAATAGATAACTCTGACTCAATGCATTGTCTTTAGTATCTTTGCTTATAATAGTGATTTTCTGGGCTCCTTGTGCTGCATTTTCTCTTTCTGGGATATTTTCCAACTTGGTGACTTTTCTGAAGGAGTGAGTCTAAATCAGTGTGTTCAGTTCTTTCTCTTTTCCAACTTGATAAGATTGGGGCAGACACAGGACACAATCAATTCATAGGCTGGTCAGAAACAGGTTCAAGATTTTTCCTTTAGGAAATTTGAACTCAAAGATGTAGATTCTGATCCGAGAAAGATGCAATACCTTTTATTGAAAGTGATATTTGAATAACACATGAAATAAACAAAGGTAAGTCTTCAACTCAGTACCTAGACACAGAAATGTAAATGTTAAAGACAAAAAGAAAATTTGAGCTCTATACCCAAAACACATTACCCATGGAATAATGTTGGAGAGCCATTTCAGAGGCTCGGTGGATGCCAGGAAACACTGCAGGGAGATTCTTCAATTACAGGCTTAGAATTTTTTTTCTAGAACTAAAGAAACCAGAGGAAAGGTTACCACTGTGGCATAGTGGATAAAGCCACTGCTTACTGGGTGGGTGCCAGTTCATGACCAGTTTACTCCACTTCCAATGCAGCGCTTGGCTAATGCCAAGAAAAGTGGAAGATAAGCCCCTGCATCCATGTGGGAGACCTGGAAGAAGCTCCTGGCTTTGCATTGGCCCAGCTTTGGCTGTTGTGGCCATTTATGGAGTGAACCAGCAAATGGAAGATTCTCATTCATTCTCTAATTTATTCCCTTCCTCCCTCCCCCACCCTTCCATTGCTTTGCCTTTCAAATGAATCTTAAAAGGAAACCAGATGAATGTTACTACATTTCCAGAATATGACACCCTAGACTTGTCACCCACTAGTCCATATATCCTGTCAATACATTGAGAGTACCTGTTGGCTTCAGTGTCAAATATTTAAGGGAAATCTACATGAAGAACCAAAGGGAGCAAACGTGTAGAAGGAAAGAGAAATGAGAGGCAACTAGAAGCAGAAGAAATAATTGGAGAAAAATAATCTGATCATAGACAAGGAATTCTGAACAAGAACAGGATGCTGCAAAAAAGAAATTTCCAGAGCAAGTAGAAACACTCTTAGCTTTCTGAGGAATCTCCCTGCTGTTGACCACAATGGCTACACCAGTGTACATTCCTACTAACAATGAACTAGGGTACCTTTTTCTCCAACATCCTTGGCAGCATTTATTGTTGGTATATTTATTGTTGGTTGCTTGCTATATGAGAGTCATTCTAACTAGAGTGAGGTGAAACCTCAATTTTTTTTTCACATTTCCCTGATGGTTGGTGATCATGAGCATTGTTTCATGTGTTTGTTGGTCATTTGTTTTTTCTCTTTTGAAAATGCCTGTTCCAATACAATCCCATCAAGGTTGCATGTACCAATGCCATCTCACTAGTCCAAGTGATCAATTTCAGTTCACAATTGATCACACTGATAGGTCTAAGAGTCAAAGATATCACACAAACAAGACTAGTGTCTGCTAATACTAACTGATAGAATCAAAAAGGGAGAGAACGATCCAACATGGGAAGCGGGATACACAGCAGACTCACAGAATGGCAGATGTCCTAAATAGCACTCTGGCCTCAGAATCAGCCCTTAAAGCACTCGGATCTGGCTGAAGAGCCCATGAGAGTATTTTAGGCATGGAGAGCCAAGACACTCTGGCAAAACAAAACAAAACAAAACAAAACAACCTAAATGAAAGATCTCTGTGAGTGAGATCCCAGTAGAAAGAACACGCCATCAAAGAAGGAGGTAACTTTCTCTGAAGGGAGGAGAGAACTTCCACTTTGACTATGATCTTGTTTAATTAAGATCGAAGTCAGCCAACTCAAAAGGCTTCCATAGCCTTGGCAACTCATGACTAGAGCCTAGGGAGATTACTGACACCATAAACAAGAGTGTCAAATTGTTAAGTATACAGTGACTCCTGTTGTTGACTTAGTCCTCATTTAGGATCTCTGTCCTTAATGTGTTGTCCAATGTGAATTAATGCTATAACTAGTACTCAAACAGTACTTTACACTTTATGTTCTGTGTGGGTGCAAACTGATGAAATCTTTACTTAATATATACTAAATCAATCTTCTGTATATAAAGATAATTGAAAATAAATCTTGATGTGAATGGAATGGGAGAGGGAGTGGGAGATGGGAGAGGTGCAAGTGGGAGGGAAGTTATTGGGGGGAAAAGCCATTGTAATCCATAAACTGTACTTTGGAAATTTATATTTACTAAATAAAAGTTTAAGAAAAAGAAAATGCCTGTTTAAGTCCTTTGCACATTTCTTCACTGGTTTGTTTGTTTTATTGTTGTTGAGTTTGTTGATCTCTTTATAGATTCTAGATATTAATCCTTATCAGTTGCAGAGTATGAAAATATTTTCTTTCATTCTGTCAGTTGCCTCTTTGCTGAGTGGTTCTTTTGTAGTGCAGAATCTTCTCTGCTTGATATAATCCTATCTGTCCATTTAGGCTCTAATATTCTTGTGCTTCTGTTGACTTTTACAAAAAGTCTTTGTCTATGCCAATATCTTACAGAGTTTCCCAATATTCTCTAGTAGTTTGATGGAATTGGGTGGTAGATTTAAGTAGATGTTGAATAGATTTTTGTGTAAGGTGTAAGGTAAGGGTCTTGTTTCATACTTCTGAATGTGGAGATCCAATTTTCCTAGTACCATTTGTTGAATAGATTGTCCTTGCTCCAGGGATTGATTTTGGCTCCTTTCTCAAAGATGAGCTGGTTGTAAATGTGTAGATTGATTACTGGGATGTATTCTGCTCCATTGATCTGTGAGTCTGTTTTTGTGCCAGTACCAGGATATTTGGATTGTAACTGCCCTGTAATATGTCTTGAAATCAAGTAGTGTATACCTCCAATTTTGTTAAGATTGCTTCAGCTATTCAGGATCTCTTGTGTTTCCATATGAATTTTAATATCTTTTTTTCTAGATCTGAGAAGAATGTTGTTGGTATTTTGATGGGGAGCACATTGAATCTGTAATTTACTTTTTTTTTAAACTTTTATTTAATGAATATAAATTTCCATAGTACAGCTTATGGATTACAATGGCTTAACTCCCATAACGTCCCTCCCACCTGCAACCCTCCCCTTTCCCACTCCACCATTCCATTCACATCAAGACTCATTTTCGATTCTCTTTATATACAGAAGATCAGTTTAGCATACATTAAGTAAAGATTTCAACAGTTCGCTCCTGCACAGAAACATAAAGTGAAAAATACTGTTTGAGTACTAGTTATAGCATTAAATCTCAATGTACAGCACACTAAGGACAGAGATCCTACATGAGGAGTAAGTGCACAGTGACTCCTGTTGTTGACTTAACAAACTGACACTCTTGTTTATGGCATCAGTAATTTACTTTTTTTTTTTTTTTTACAGGCAGAGTGTACAGTGAGAGAGAGAGACAGAGAGATAGGTCTTCCTTTGCTGTTGGTTCACCCTCCAATGGCCACCGCGGCCGGCGCACCGTGCTGAGCCGAAGCCAGGAGCCAGGTGCTTCTCCTGGTCTCCCATGTGGGTGCAGGGCCCAAGCACTTGGGCCATCCTCCTCTGCAATCCCTGGCCACAGCAGAGAGCTGGCCTGGAAGAGGGGCAACAGGGACAGAATCCAGCGCCCCGACCGGGACTAGAACCCGGTGTGCTGGCGTCGCAAGGCGGAGGATTAGCCTATTGAACCACGGCGCCGGCTAGTAATTTACTTTTGATAGTATGGACATTTTGATACTAATTCTTCCAATTCATGAATATGGAAAATTTAACCACTTTTCGTGTTTCTTCTATGGCTTTCTTTTTATAAGCTTCATCATAGATATCTTTGACCTCATGGGTTAAATTTATTCCAAGGTATTTCATTTTGTAACTATTGTGAATAGAATTGATCTTAGAAGTTCTTTCTCATGGCATTCCCATGGCATTGTCTATGTATACAAAGGCTACTTATTTTTGTGTGTTAATTTTATATCCTTGAAGCTTACCTAACTGTTATGAGTTATAATAGTATCTTAGTGTGGAGTCTTTTGATTTCTCTATATATAGAGTATATATCAGGGATGTTGGTCTATAGATCTCTTTCTCTGTTGTATCATTTCTGATTTTGGAATTGAGGTCATGCTGGCCTCATAGAAGAGTTTGGGAGGATTCCCTTCCTTTCAATTGTTTATTTCTTCTCCAGTTTTAATTACTTCTTTTCTCCTAATTTTGGATTTGGTTTGTTGTTGTTATTCTAGATCCTTGAGATGCATTGATAGCTCATTTATTTGATGCCTTTCTGATTTATTGATGTAGGCCCTAATTGCTATAAACTTCCCTCTTAACACTGCTTATGCTGTATCTCATAAGTTTTGAAATGTTGTATTTTCATCTTGATTAATTTCCAAGAATTTTTAGATGTCATTTTTTATTCTATGATCTGTTCATTCAGGAATGTGTAGTTCAGTCTACATGTGTTTGCATATTTTGCAGATATTCCTGAGTTGCTGAATTCCAGCTTCATTCCATTGTGGTCTGAGAAGATGGAAAGTATGATTTCAATTTTTTGGCATTTGCTGAGACTTGCTTTATAGCTTAACATATGGTATATTGTAGAGAAAATTCCATGCACTGATGAAAGGATGGTGTATTCAACTGTGGGATGAAATGTTCTGTAGATGACAGGATCATGTTATCCGTAGCATAGATTAGCTCCGTAGTTTACCGTCTAGTTGATCTGTCCATTGATAAAAGTGAGATGCTGTGGTTCCCCATTACTATTGTTTTGGAGTCTATGTTGCCCTTCAGATAAATTAACATTTTATTTTGTGAAGTATTATATCTTTTTCCTATAATGTAATTTTAAAATGTGTTATCTCAAAAACTAAGAAAAATAGTTAGAAGAAAGGAGGGTTGAAGGGAGGAAGGGGGATATTATTATGTTCTAAGACTTGTTTCTATAAATCATATTGAATCTGTTGAAATTAATTAAAATTAAAATAAAAATGAAATAAAAAAGGTAACTTACCTGTTGCTTCAATAAATTACCATAAAGTGGAGACCTTAAAATAATGGTTTCTTCTTGTAGTTGTAGAATACCCAAGTCTACAATTTTCCAGGCCAGTAATGTTTTTGGAGGCTTCAGGGAAAATCTATTTCCTTTTTTTTGTATCTACTAGAATCTACTTGGGCTTGTAATCCCTTCTTCCATCTTCAAAAGTTAACACCTGTACAACTGTCATTTTTTTTTAAAGTTTGATTCCTCCAGTTTCCCTCCTATGAAGACTGTTGGAATTCTACTGGGCTCACCCATGTAAACCATGGTATGCTCTCCATTTTAGGTTCCTTAATCCAATCACAATATCATTCTCTTGGTAATGCAAAGTAACATTTAGATTTTGGAAATAGTATGTGGACTTATTTCAGAGGATACTATTCTGTATCATTAGCTGTAAACTTTGTTTTTTATTTTATTTTTAAAGCTTTAATTTAATGAATATGAATTTCATATGCTCAATTTTAGGAATATAATGGTTATTCCCCCCATACCCACCTTCCCATCTGCACCTCTGTCCCACTCTCCTACTCATTCTCCCATCCCATTCTTCATTAAGATTCAATTTTAATTAACATTATATACAGAAGACCAACTCTATATTAAGTTTTCAACAGTTTGCATCCCCACACATACACAACATATAAAGTATTGTTTGAGAACAAGTTTTGCATTTAATTCTCATAGTACAACTCATTAAGGACAGAGGCCCTGCCTGAGGAGTAAGTGCACAGTGACTTCTGTTCTTAATTTAACAATTAACACTCTAACATATGATGTCAGTTATCACCTGATGCTCTTCCCATGAGCTGCCAAGGCTACGGAAACCTTTTGTGCCCACAAACTCTGTCAGTATTTAGGCAAGGCCATAAGCAAAGTGGAAGCTCCCTCTTCCCTTCACAGAAAAATACATCCTTCCTTGATGGCCCCTTCTTTGCACTGGAGTCTCACTCACAGAGATTGTTCATGTAGAATATTTTTTGCCTCAGTGTTTTTGCTTTCCATGCGTGAAATAGTCTCATGGGCTTTTCAGCCACATCTGAAGGCCTTAAGGACTGATTCTGAGGTCAGAGTGTTACTTAAAGTGATTGTCATTCTATGAGTGTGCTGTGTGGGCTGCCACTCCTTTTAATTCTATTACCAAGCACTTGATGCTATTTATATGATCTCTTTAACACTTATTCCTATCTATATGTTCACTTTAACACTTAATATTATCACTTTAACAATTAATAGTGTATTTTTACCACCAATTTTAATAGAATTGGAGTGCCATGAGAAGTTTTAAAACTGTACCCATCGAAGGAAGTCTGTAGGACTGTATGCAGAACTTACAGCTTTACAGTTACAAACTTCTCCACCCTGTCTCTTTTTTATAAAAGATTTTATTTATTTATTTAAGATGTTCTAGTCCCAGTTGGGGTGCCAGATTCTGTCCCAATTGCTTCTCTTTCAGTCCAACTCTCTGCTGTGGCCTGGGAGTGCAGTGGAGGATGGCCCAGGTCCTTGGGCCCTGCACCCACATGGGAGACCAGGAGGAAGCACCTGGCTCCTGGCTTTGGATCAGTGCAGCACGTTGGCTGCAGCGCACCGGCTGTAGCTGCCACTTTGGGGATGAACCAATGGAAAAAGGATGACCTTTCTCTCTGTCTCTCTCTCTCTCTCTCTCACTGTCTAATTCTGCCTGTCAAAAATAAATAAATAAATAAATAAATAAATAAATAAAAGAAGAGGAAAAAGAGGGAGGATGGGGGCCACTGTCATGGCGCAGTAGATTAATCCTTTGCCGTGGCATTGGCATTCTATATGGGCACTAGTGCTAATCCCGTCTGCTCCTCTTCCATTCCATCTCTCTGCTATGGCCTGAGGAAAGCAGTAGAGGATGTCCCAAGTCCTTGGACCCCTGAACCCACTTGGGAGACCCAGAAGAAGCTCCTGGATCCTGGCTTCAGATCGGTGCAGCTGTGGTCATTGCAGCCTTTTGGGGAGGATTAGCCTAATGAGCTGTGGCACCTACCCTCTTCTTATTTTTTAATGAGATCTATTTTCAGTTGACTTTATGTATGTATGATTAACCCTATGTTAAGTAAAAAGTTCAAGATATAGTATAAAAAAAGAAAGAAAAAATGTTCTTTGACATTCAAGATGAGGGCTGTTCAGGTCATTGCTTCTCAAAGTGTCAATTTCACTTCAATAGCTTTGGTTTTAGATGTGCTAGTTCACACGGATCAGGGACAACATATAGTATTTGTCCATTTGGGACTGGCTTATTTCACTAAGTATGAGGTTTTCCAGATTCTTTTTTTTTGCAAATGACTAGATTTGATTTTTTTTACTGCTGTGTGTTATTTGATAGCGCACATATCCCATAATTTCTTTATCCAGTCTTCAGTTGATGGGTATTTAGGTTGATTCCATGTCATAGCTACTGTGAATTGAGCTGCAATAAACATGGAAGTGCAGATAGCTCTTTTGTTGACTGATTTCATTTCTTTGGGTAAATTTCCAGGAGTGCAATGGCTGGGTCATATGGTAGGTCTATATTCAGATTTCTGAGGTATCTCCATACTGTCTTCCATAGTGGCTTTATAAGTTTACATTCTCACCAACAGCAGATTATGGTACCTTTTTCTCCACATCTTTTCCAGTATTTGTTGTTTGTTTATTTCTGATTGAGAGTCATTCAACTGGGGTAAGGTAAAACAACCTCATTGTGGTTCTGATTCACATTTCCCTGACAGCTAGTGATCCTGAACATTTTTTCATGTGTCTGTGGGCCATTGGATTTCCTCTTTTGAAAAATGTTTATATAAGTCCTTGACCCATCTCTTAACTGGGTTGTTTGTTTTTGTGTATTTTCTTGACCATTTTGTAGATTCTGGTTATTAATCCTTTATCAGTTGCATAGTTTGCAATTAATTTCTCCCGTTCTGTTTTTTGCCTCTTCACTTTCCTGTTTCTTTTGCCATACAGAAGCTTGTCAATTTGACATAATCCCATTTTTGTCTTTGACTTGTTGTACCTCTGGGGTGTTTTCCAAGAACTCTTTGCCTGTGCCAATGTCTTGTGGGGTTTCCCCAATGTTCTCTAATAATTTTATGGTATCGGGTTGTAGATTTAGGTCTTTAATTCATTTTGAGTGGATTTTTATGTCAGGTGTAAGGTAAGGGTCTTGCTTCATAATTAAGTATGTGGAAATCCAATTTTCCCAGCACCATTTGTTGAAGAGACTGTTCTTGCTCAAAGATTTGGTTTTAGCTCCTTGGTCAAATATAAATTGGTTGTAGTTGTTCGTATTGATCTCTGGGTTTTTTAATATTCTGTTCCTTTTGTCTATCCCTCTATTTTTGTACCAGTACTAAGCTGTTTTGATGATAACTGCCTTGTAGTATGTCTTGAAATCTGGTATTGTGATGCCTTCAGGTTGTTTTTGTTGTATAAGCTTGCTTTAGGTATTTGACATCTCCAGTGCCTCCATATAAATTTCAGCATCACTTTTTCTAGATCTGAGAAGAATGTCTTTGGTATTTTGACTCATATTGCATTGAATCTGCAAATTGCTTTCAGAAGAATGGACATTTTGATATTCTTTCAACCCATGAACATGGAAGATTTTTTCTTTTATTGTATCTTCTACTTCTTTTTGTTTTGTTATTCTCAGTGTAGAGATCTTTGACATCCTTGGTTAAATTTATTCCAAGACATTTGATTTTTGTTTGTAGCTATTGTTATTGGTATTGACCCTATAAGTTTTTTTCTGATCCCTGGCATTATCTGTATATGTAAATGCTGTTGATTTTTGCATATTCACTTTATATCCTGCTACTTTACCAAACTCTTCTATGAGTTCCAGTAGTCTCTTAGTGGAGTCTTTTGGATCCCCTATATATAAAATAATGTCATCTGCAAATAAGGATAGTTTACTCCTTCCCAATTTGTATCCCTTTAATTTCTTTCCTTTCCTAATAGTTCTGGCTAAAACTTCCAGGGACTATATTGAGTAACAGTGGTGAAAATGGGCATCCCTGTCTGGTACCGAGTCTCAGTGGGAATGCTTCCAACTTTTCTGCATTCAGTGTGATATTGGCCATCGGTTTGTCATAAATTGCCTTGATGGTCTTGAGGAATGTTCCTTCTATACCCAATTTGCTTATAGTTTTCATCATGAAAAGGTGTTGTATTTTGTCAAATGCTTTCTCTGCATCTATTGAAATAATCGTTTGGTTTTTGTTTAGTTTGTTAATGTGATGTATTGCATTGATCGATTTGCCAATGTTGAAGCATCCCTGCATACCAGGGATAAATCCCACTTGGTCCAGGTCAATCATCTTTCTGATGGGTTGTTTGATTCAACTGGCCTGAATTTTGTTGAGGATTTTTGTGTCTATGTTTATCAGGGAAATTGGTCTGTAGTTCTCTTTATCTGTTGCATCTTTTTCAGATTTAGGAATTAAGTGAATGCTGGCTTCATAGGAAGAATTTGGGAGGATTCCTT